CTTGTTATTCCATATGTCACATCCAAGCCTGACGAGTAGTATTTATAGAGAACACAGATAATGGATAAAATATTTAAACAATGCGGATGAACAAATTATATGAGCATTTGTACAAACTTTTAACTGATGAAATTGGGTCTTGCATGAATGGTATTACATGCATAATGCTGAAAGAAAAGATTAAGGGCAACCTGGTGAAAACACTTTTTCAATAACATGTTTACAAATTTTTCACCCAGTGAATATAAAACATGGCATATATTGGGCCAATATTTGCATTGGAAAATTTGCAACATTTGCGAAAGGAAATTGCAAGAAATTAATATGAACACCAAAAAACCCACTTACAGAGATAGGACATGTAACAATTTTATGTGACTTTACAATACAAACAGTCAGAACAATCAAGTCTAATCGCCCAGGCATTGTGTTTAGAGACTGCAAAGCCAAAATGCGCCTTCTTATTGACATGGCATTGCATGCAGGCTTTAATAAATATTTGAAGATCTTCAAAAAACTATCAAAATAAAAGGATCTTGAAGTGGAAATCTCATAAATGTGTCATGTGAGTGCATCAGTAATTCATATTTTAGATTGACGGACACATTGAAAGGACATAACAAATAATACAGACAATTGTCTTTACAAACACAGCTTATACATTACGAAGAGCTTTAACTATGCAAAATATGTTTGATCTTAGTTGTTTTCCTGTTGGTTTTGTAGAAACTAATCAGTCAAAAATGGCATGAGATTCTTTTTTTTAATTCAACTCGGCATTAAACACCAAACGCACACATTCATAATACTCTTTCCTTATTGTTATGGTCCGGTTCCTTGTACCACGATGACAGACCAAGGAAGAACCAATAAAGAAGAACTCGAATCCGGATATGGAGTAACAAGATATATTACAAACAGGAATATATACAGAGAAGTAGAAAGTGTTAGTACGAACAATCAGGTTTAGCAGTGATTGTCTGAAAGCGACTCTGTTTCGGACTGCCTCTGACTCGACTAACTGACTCGCTCGCTCTGACTGACTGACAGACTCCTGACGGACTTCACTCCAGACTTCAGGCTGAACAGTATTTAGTCACCCCCACGAGGGCATCATGTGGCACAAGGCCAGTTTAACGTGGTATCTCCGAGCCCGTGGGCTCGGCAAAAAATAGGCCCTTTAAACCCGTATAAACGGGTTCAGGGTCGGTTTACCTCCCCGAAAGAGACTCCGCCCTTCGGCGTAGCCTCGTTCGGGTTCCTCCCCGCCCGAAGGCAGAGAGTTCAACCGATCAGCCGTTCAGCCGGTCGCCCGACTTCGGACTGAACTCTCTGCATCCTTTTGAGGCGCAGTATTTATTACGTATGGAAATGCCCATTATGTTATCATGGGTAAGGTCCCATAACACTTATTTTCCCCTTCATTTGGATATTCTCTATTCAATTTCCTTTGCTAACTCCTAGATATGTATAAGCTTTTACTTGTTCCAGTTCCCTAATATTTACGCTTTAGATTTTTTGAACATTTATCCCATCCAAAATCAATACCCATTACATCAATGAAATATTTGACAGATTTGATGATAAGGAGTAAGTCATTGTCGTCTTTAGCAAATAATTTTAATTTTAGAATATCGACATTCTTTATTAGAATATGCATAATTATAATTTAGTTCATGACATAGGGAATTCAATTTTAAAAAATGGATAATCGTAGAATATTGAAACAGCTGGAATTTGCAACATTCATCTGCAATAAAAGTTTTACATATTTATTTTAGACAATTTACTATAACGAAGTTGACTTTTGTACATTTCCAAACAAAGGAAAAAGAGTTGGTATACATTCAAAGACTTTTCGGTAATCTCTCAAAGCTGTGCTGAAACTTCTACCTTTTTCCAAAATCATCTTATTTAACAGTTTTGATCTTGCAAACATTATTTTTTTCAACATTTGACATCCCGTCTGTTCCTTAAGAAGAATGTTATTTTAATATTGATTTTTCAATATTTCAAATTATGGACTAACATGTTATTGGCCTGTCTTCAATCTTAATATTTCTTTCGTGATCCATTCTAGAATTTCATTGGGCTATTACTTGGAATTGATACTGTTTTCGCCAGAGTTTTTGCTTCATTAATTGTTAAAAATAATTAGCTAACTACATTTTGTAAGGAAATTCCATTTTGGGATTTTGCAATATTCTTGACTATAATTATTCTTGATTATATTAAAACATTATGGTTGTGGGGTTATCCTTCACTAGCAGTTTTTAGTGTTGATGTGCTTCATTCATAAATCCGTAAAGCAATGAATATCATTTGATTTTTGCTGATTTTTTCTACATGCCTTAAAGTGCCCTTTCCCGTGCTGATCTGCTACATGCCTTAGGGATTGCCTATTCACATTGCGAATTTTTTTTAAGCTGTATACTAACCATTAAATCAGTTACGAAAAAAGAACTAAACAAAATGAACACAAAACGATCAGCTTTAAAAAAGGACTCGTAACTGGAAAAACCGAATAAAAAAAGAATGTTAACAACAAATATTTTTTCACACCCAACCCTGTTCTCCAGAATCAGAATTAACGTTGTGTTTAAGCAAGCGAATGAGCCAATTGGAATAAAGTACCATGCAGATTTAAATTTTTCCCACTTGTGACGCTATCGATTTTTTTGCATGCAAGTTAACATTCGTGTCAGTCGGCTGTTGTCTCTCACGCTGGCCAATTGAATCTTCCTGCCTAATCGTGGCAGCCAGCTATAGGCTCTCACTCTGGCCAGTACAAAATGGCCGCAAACTGCATTAAAACTGCCGTAGAAGCAAAAAAAAATCGATTATTTCCACTATAGATGAGAGTTGGGAAATGCAAAGTCATTATTGGCCTTCCGCTAACTTGGAGCATGTGCATGTAAATTTGGTGCAAAAAATGTCGAAAATCCGGCCGTGCATTCGTTAAAAACACACACACACATACACACACACACATATATAGATATATATATATATATATATATATATATATATATATATATATATATATATATATATATACATATTTATAGATAGAGATTCTTTCTTCTTCTCGTTTGTTCTTTTCTACATTGGGATTATATTCTTTCTCAAATATTTTTGCATTTTTATATATGGTGTCTTTTTGACTTATATAACTGCTTTTCCAATTTCCTTGTAAAACTTTTTGTCACTAGAACATACAACGTCTTGTTCTTTATTTGCAGTTTCTCTTTAAGTAATTCATTGATTGGTGGTATTTCATAGAGTAATTTAATTTTATATCTTCGTTTGATCTTCTGCATTTGCGTGTCGAAATATATGAGTTTCCTGAGATCTCATCCATTATCGACAACTCCCACTTGATTTACGCAATTTCCCGCTTTATTTTTCCTTATAAGTGGGCTCTTTTTGTCTGTTGCTTAATATTTTATTTGTTTTGACATTTTCACTAGCTAAGGTGTTGCATATATTACATTATTTATTTCTGTGATTTATCTGTTAACAATGTCTAAAATGCTGCCTCCTATGTTTGCGTAATATGTTTATTGGACATTGTCATATCAGCTTTTGGAAGTCGGTATCTTTCTGACAGTTCTGCACGAGTTACTTTGATGATTATTTAAATGATGTGGTTTTAAATTTAAAATTTAAATTTAAATGATGTGGTTTTAAAGGAATTCTGCTTTAATAACGGTTGATTCATTTTTTTTTTCATTTACAGAATCAGTACAAGTATTTCTGTCGCAGCTAAGATCCTTCTGTTTTATTACCTGTATAATCATTATTTCTTATCTCATTTATTTTAGATTGTATCTCATCTTCTGTCATATTATCTCTTGCCACCCTTGAAACATGTTTGTTGGCTGTATGTATGCTTATACATTGTCTTATATTTATTTTCATCATATCTATTTCTGTATTTGAGAGTATTTTGTTTCGGATTATGATCCCTGTGATAATGTGCAATAGTATTTGGGCCAGATAGGATCTTATTTTAGTTCCATATTTTTTAAGCTTGGTCCGTGATGTTCTTTTGTTGATTTTCGCTTGCAGGGAGAAAGACAATGTTGTTCACGATTCCATTTCTCCCACTTCATTTTTATTAATCGATTTCATATTAATTTACCAGATCCTAGTGTTGGATTCAATCAGGTTTTAGTGAACAGGTGTCTCATTATAGTTAGAAGGGTTGGTTCCAGTAACAGATTTTTTAACCACTGACGGGATACTGGATCCTCTCTGAGGAAGGAGGCGACCCTTGTTCACCCGGGTAACCACAGATCTGGTACGAGTATTTGCTCGTAAGTACTGAGATTCGTGATCTTTGTGTTTTATCCTTAACCCTTTATGGCTAATTTTGTTCAAGGGACAACCTGTAGGACAACTGTCGACAAAAACTAATGAACGCGTCCTGCCCAGGAGACACGCCTATTCTCCAAATTATATAACCCCCATGTTTCCAAACCACTGCGAGTTTTATTGATGTATTATTATTATTATTAGTAGTAGTAGTAGTAGTGGTGGTGGTGGTGGTAGTATTCGTTTCATTGTTATCATTATCAGTATTATTATTTAATCAATTTTTAGTTGTATATAATGTATTCTATCACTCAGTGTTCTTGTAATTAATATTATTGTTGCTGTTGTTAATGTTATTAAATTCTTTTTGCATAGCATATGATATTGGTTGCTACTAAAAAAAAAGTTTATTTTCAGGTCACTTGTATTGCCTTAAGAAATAAACCAGTGATTTGTCATCTTCATTTATAGTTTTTTTTTTTAATCATTTTCGAAATAATTATTGTTCCGAACGGATGCTTTTTATAATTTCCAAATCATAACCCAATGTCTGCATCTTTTTACTTATTGTTTTTTTGGTACAAAACGCCAATGCTGCAATATTTATTGCTACTCTAATTACTTTCTTTGCTAGTGGTTTGTAAACATTCCAGATTTGATATTGTAAATTATTGTAGGCGTCGATGGATTATTTGCATTCTGTTTTCAGTTCGAATGTCAAATGCTCAGGAGGCTTCTATCAGGTAGGGAATCTTTTAATTTAACAATAATAATAATAATAATAATAATAATAACAGCAATAACAAGTTTATATATAAATCCACTGAGAGAGTGGTCTAATATAGTGGATAATATGCGACTTTCACGGAGAGGAAGCCGCAAGTAACTGAAATATACATCACCGGACCAAGTTATTTTATGTGACTTTACAATGCACAAAGACCGAACAGTCAAAGCTAATCGCCCAGACATCGTGATCAAAGACCTCAATAACAGAACGTGCTTTCTTATTGAAATGGCAGTCTCCCTCAGATTGTGGTGTGTTTCGAAAAGATTTCCAAACACTATCAAAATACAGGGATCTTGAAGTAAAAAATCTAAAACATGGATCAAGTGATGACATCAACAATTTCATTTGGAATTTGATTCAATGGTCTCAGTGAAGGGATTTCTGTTAGCCTATGCCTGAAAGCAACACAAAAAATGTATCCGGAAGTACAGGTCACATATTACAAAAACTTTATCTATGTAAATTATGTGTTCTCTTAGTATTTTCTACAATGATAATCAGTGGAAAATGCCATGAACCATTTCTGCACATCAGTCTCTGGATGTAAGCAGGAAGTAAATATTTATACAACAGAAATCCAAGGAAATAATAATAATAATAATAATAATAATAATAATAATAATAATAATAATAAATATTACGTAGAAAGGAATTTTCTGAAATGATAATAAAAGGTTTTGCATCTCAGAAGCTGAGGTGTTTCCCCCGATTTTGTCAGTCTGTATTAATCTACTTTTTACTAAATACTAGTGATCCAATATAATTATAGGAATAGTGAATAGTTAATAGATTCATTCATTTATTCATTCTTCTTCTTCTTCTTCTTCTTCTTCTGATTATTATTATTATTATTATTTTCTTCTTATGGTTTTCGAATTCAAAATGATTAATTGCTTTATGAGTTTCTTGTTATCAAGTCATACAACTGCAGCAACAACAAACACAATCCCACCACCAACACTACCACCACCACCAAAAAACAACAACAACAACAAAAATAATAATAATAATAAAAAAAATAATATTTACAATATGAAAAGATGGCGATATATCAGTTAATGAAATTATTCCAGCAGCTCAATAAACAAAAAATATTGGAAAAAATTATAAACTATATTGTTCAGAATAGTTCAGATGTTCCGTTGATTGTATTAGTCAATAGATCGCTGTTTATCATTGTACCACCGTTTCAAGAATTTTCGTCAGCATCACAATATGCAACTGAAGACATAGTCGCTGTTTTCTAATTTTAGTTAGGGCCCAATGCACACAAGATGTTAATTGGTTGTGCCGATCGAGTTAGTATTTTGTTTCTTTGCGTTTTTTTTTCTTTAGCATAATGCATTCTTCAGTTTCACTTTTAAAACAAGTTTTTCTTTGCTAAACAAAATCCTTTTTTCCTTCGTTTATTTTGAACTTTTTTTGCCTTTTGAATTTTTGCTTTCATTCTTCAATCGTGACTTGATTTCTATTCTTTCCTATCATTATTCAATCCTTTTCTTTTCTTTTTTCAGTTGGTCTTTTTTTCAGTCTTCCCCCTTTCAATATTTAAGTGTTCTTTTATTTGCTTCTTTACTTTGTCTTCTTCAATTGTTCTTCTTAAATTTTATTATTCAGTTTTTCTTTTTTCCTTCTTTTCCTTCTTTTCCTTTCCTTCTTAAATTATTCTTTCTGTTTCCTACTTTTCTGTTCGCACTTCCATTGTTATGTCTTTTATGTCATTCCGTTCAAATTTCAATTGCTGTTTCGTTTAATGGTTTCTTTTATTCTTTATTTGCTTACTTTTTCCTTCATTTCTTCCATACTTCAACATTTCTCTGGTTTTCTTTTTACGTTGCATTATTCGATTTTTCTTAGTTTGCCTTATTTGTTTTATTCTCCATTTTTTTTTTATCATTCTTTAATTGTTTTTTTTAGTTTCTTTTTCACTTCTCCTTGTTTTCTTTCATTGCTTTCATTTTCAATTCGTCTTCGTTTTTCTTCTTTTCCCTTGCATTCTTGAATTCTTCTTTGTCTTTTTTCACTTTTCAATTGGTTTTTGTTTCTTTCTCTCTTTTTCATTCTTCAGTTGGTTTTTCGTTTCCTTATTTTCTTAATATTATTATTAGTTATGATTTAACGTCTTTCTCTTTCATTCTCCAATTGTTGGTTTATTTCTTTCTTTTCATTCTTTCATCAATTGTATATTATTTTTTCTTCTTTTCTGTTCGTTCTCCAAGTTTTCCTTCTTTTCTTTCAGTTTTCCAGTATCTTTCCAATTCCTTCTTATTTTTATTCATAAATTGTCCAGATTTATTCTTTTCTTTTATTCTCCAATAATCCATTCTTTTTGTTTCATTCTTCAAATGGTCTTTCCATTTTTTTTCCCTTCAATATTTCAATTTTTCTTTCTTTTCTTTATTTCTTTTTCCTTCTCCAGTTGTTCTTTCCTTTCCTCTTTTTTACTTCCATTCCTCAATTTTTGCTTTACTAGTCGCCGATATCTTGATAGTTTTTTATCATTTTACTCCTCCCAACTTTATTCCTGTTATTTCTTCTTGCATTTCCTTTCATGTTTCTTCACTTCTCTTCGTTAAATGTTTTTTTGTATTCGTTCTTTATTTTTATCATATTTTGATTTATTTATTGTTTTTTTTTTCTTTAAAAATAAGTGTTTGAAATAGATTCTTACAGGTTATTGTTTTATTCTTAACTATTTTTTAAATATATTTTGCCATAACATTATACTTTATTCCCTTGTTTATATTCATGTAGTCTTCAACAAGTTCGTTCTATGATTACATTCTCACATTCACTCTCGTGATTACTTCATGATTTCATTCACTCTATTTTAATCTCATAATTTTACTCATTCAAATTCTTCTTCGGACTTCACCATATTTATCTTCACTTTAGATTCGTTTATTATTTTACAGTCTTTCTCTCAGGCCTATATTTTTTTTTTCCATTTTCCACATTACTTATTATGTTTCTCTGTAAATTACGTTACTCCATATTTCTTTCTTTCTCATTCTTCTCGTTCATTCGATATCATGTCATACATTCGTTTGATTTCTTCTAACTTACTTGCTTTATTTCTTTCTGCAACTAACTCCATTTGCTTTTACTGTATTGTACGCTTTTTTTATATTTACCAATTTTAATTCGGTTTCTTTTTTATTTTTCGCAAGAAAAATCTTTGTGAAGTGAGGATTGATAATGCAATTACAATCGGTATTGAGCTGAGCAAAAAGTCAAGTTCAGAGTGCGCACTTTGAAGAGATAATGAACACAAGTTTTCACTTGGCAAGGAATACAGTGACTCAGCTTGCCACATCCTCACCGTGGATTCACGAGACCATTTACTTCGTAGGAGGTGTTGATGGGTGCTTACAAATTAAAGTGGGAGTAGCAGTCATATTTATTGCGTAGTATAAGAATTTTTTTATGAAGCAAGAATAGCTACTGATAATAGTATATGTGTTTAGAGATGCATATATATATATATATATATATATATATATATTTGAAAAATAAAAAAAAATAATAATATATTGATTCAATATTCGGAGCTCTTTTGACCAAATCGAAGCATGATGAGAAACATGTTATGATTCGGAACTTTCGGACACGCCTGTATCCTTACTCAACAAGAAAAGAAGTTAATTTTTAAATTTTATAATATATATATATATATATATATATATATATATATATATATAAAGTTAACGACATGCACCATCAAGTAGTAAGCATCCGTCGACTGCATGAAACACGAAAGGAAAACAAGGTAGGTAACAGTGTTCCTATTTCACATTCTCCTCTACAGTTTGTGACTTTTTGTTCAGTTGTCCAGCCGATCTGAAAAGTCATGCCTGTCATAGGCATGCAGATAATTAGTTCGTGGTCGTCGGAACCTCATACACAACTCGATGGGAAAGTTCATTATTTAAAATGATTTGTTGTAACTAATGAGACGAAAAGAAGTATCGGTTTTGCGAAATAAAATATTACCATGGGTTTCTAAAATTTCCGCTTTCATAATTATTTCTTGCTCTGCTCTTATATTGACTGAGATCTCTCTGAATCTATATCCTCTTTGGAATTATCCAGATTACTAAATATTTTCATCTATCTATTATCTACCAATCTCTCTCTCTCTCTCTCTCTCTCTCTCTCTCTATATATATATATATATATATATATATATATATATATATATATATATATATATATATATATATATATATATATATATATATATATATATATATATATATATATATATATAAGGCACAGTGGAGTAATGGATAGTGGTGGTTTGGATTGAGGAATCGTGCTAATATTTTTTTGGGAAACGTGTGTTCCTCTTTTTTCTCCCCAGCTATGGGTAAATAGCAGGACAGACTGGGTTCTATAGCCTTGATGGCAACTAGGAGAAGGACAACTCTAAATTCGAAACTTGCGGAAGGTCATTTGGGGACCTTGTGGCACGTAGTGCCCCGGGGCTCTGAATTCGGACCTTCAAAACGTGTGGATGGTACTGCACGAAAACTCCACCACTAAGCATAAAGAGGAAGGCCATGGAAAAATTAATCCTCGCTGTATATATTAAGGGCAGGAGAGATAGGGATACCTCCTAGATGCCTACCTGACAAGCATGTACATCGATAGTGGAACGGGAGGGCAGGAGATTTGACCAAAATCGAAAAATGCTGAGATGACAAGGAATAGAAAATTCTGGAGAGCCATGTCATCCATGTCCTAAATGGACGCGATGCATAGAATATATTTCTTACTTTGTTCATATCTATCTATCGTTATATCTATCGCAATCTTTTTTTTTCTATCACTGACATTTACTATTTCTAAATATGTATGCGTGTGCATCAAAAATGCTGCAGTATTTTAAACGTACTAAATATGCAGATAGAAGCACCACTCGCTTAAAGTCATAAGAACTATCGCCAATTTGGTTATAGCCGTCTGTTCGCCTACATTATATCTACTCCATCCAATATAATGAATATTGGATAAAATAAAGTGTCAGTGTCGCGGCGTAGGTTATCAACTGAACTTACATGAATTTAATTAATATTGAATATCCTGCTCAACCTGTACTTAACAAGGATTCTTTTACTGGGGTAGCTTTCCTTCCAGATAGCTAAACTTATATGAATACTGTTATGCTAATAATATTGTCGAGTTAGCCATTTCTAGGCCAAGATATATTCATTAAGCGAACAGGTAGCATAACGACCAGGTGAGATGTCTAAAATCTTTCTAACAATTATCACTCTTTATAATACTAATATCAAATTTGTTGCAAACCTGTTTATGGTCATTCTGGAAGTCAGCATCGTGTCTATATCATTGTTTTCAATCATTCACTTGTTGTTTGCTATTTGATAACATTCTTTGTTATTCTTTGTATCTATCATATTTGATAACATTACCCATCAAACTTTGTTATTTCTTAAATAAACGTTTCTATCGGTCTAATTTTCAGGTTATCTATCACTCTCAATGTTCCGTTTAAGGGTCACTCGACGAAACAAGTCGTTCGAGGTTTTTATGTACTAAAACATAATTATTTTTTTTCCTTAGTTTACCCATTTCTTTTTTGAAACTGATGATTTGAATCGTGATTACGATTCCAGTGTAATAAATTATAACGATAGAATATTAGTGTTTGAGCCTTTTATATTATTTATATACTCTGTATATATTAGTTCTACCTGGATTATATATATATATATATATATATATATATATATATATATATATATATATATATATATATTATATTATTATTAAAAAAATTACTGGTGAAACCAACAGGCAGCTTGCCAAAACCTAAAATCTTATTCAGATTTTCTCGAATATTAAACGACACAACTGAAAAAATGACCAGAAAAAAAGGGCTTAAAATTAAACTTGGTAATTTTAGGTGCTCGAAGCCCAGATTGCCTAGACTGAGCAAAAAACAATTACGAACGTAAAATCTTACGAAATGCTGGCTCTAATCGTAACTTGATTTCACGCACACACGACATTCAGACGAATATGTAAGTACATATTTAATTGAACAGAGTCTAGTATTCATGACACAAAAAATGGATTTTCATCTAATGAGTCAATTTGATTATGATGAAGTTGTTTTTTATTCAATAGACTAAAGAGGCAAATAAGAAAGCGAAGGACAATTTTTTTCAAGATTACATTTATTATTATTATTATTATTATTGTTGTTATTTCATATGATTTTCTGGGGTATTTTTTTTCTAGGAGGTGCGATGGAGTAAGGGATAACGGCTCGGATTGAGGAATCGGAGAGCCGAGTTTGAATTTCAGTCGAATCCATAACATTCATATACGTGCAAATACGGTTGGGAAAGGTACGTATCCTCTTCTTCTATTCCGTCCAGCTATGGGTAAATTGCAGGACAGACAGGATTCTATAGACTTGGATGGCAGAAAGAAATGGCAACCTACTGAGGGAAAAATCTGCTTAATCAGTCATGTATCGAAAAATATATGATCGCCTAAGCGTGTAAGCACGCATGGCGCATAACAGACTGACATTTCTTTCCAGGTCGTTGTCAGTTACCTAAGGTAAGAAATGATATCATGATGTTTTTCTTTGCGGAGTTTTGAGAAAAAAACTCATACATATCTTACATAGATTAAGCCTTTTGCAAGGTGTGGTTATGAGAATATTTTTTTTTTGTATTAGGAATCCTTTCACTGATTCTGTTGGAATTTTTCTAAATCAATCAGATGTCTCCAACTACTACTCAACTTTTTAATGTCCTCAAGTGCCATATTTCTATTTCAAGGATCCTGTATTTTGATATTTTTTGAAGATCTTCAAAGATGCAGTACAGTCAAGTCAATAAGAAGTCACATGTTAACTTTTCCGATTTTAATCACGATGTCTGGCCGATTAGCTTTGATTGTTCTGTGTTTATTGTAAAGTCGCATAAAGTTGTTACAGGTTCTATCTACTTAACCGTGTCTTGGTGGTGTTCATACCAATTTCTTGCAGTTTACTGCCGTAAAAGTTGCAGATTTTCCAGTGATCTGTCATGCCAAATTTTATATTCGGTGGGTGCCAATACCGTTCAAGCTAATAAAACATGGTCAATTGTTTCTGTATATTTCTCACGGAGCCAACATGGTCATTCTATAGCCAACAGAATTATTCACTATGTGTTATTGATAATTTCTAGTTATTTCTCTGCAGCAAGAATAAAGCCTTCAGTCTAAGCGTTTAACCCTGCACTACGCAGCCACTGAACAGTACGGTGTTTTTCTACGTCAGTTGATTTGGTACAGGCAGAATATTGACCGTGCTGTGGTTTATTTTTGCCCTCGTGTCTGTATCTGGTCGGGTGCATTTGTCGTTGCATTCCTTTCTAAGTACTTTCCAGTTGCACTCGTTGCATTATTCATTACTTGCATTTGTTCACCCATTTGAAACTCCATTTTCAACCTGTTGGCTTCTTTTATATTATTATTATTATTATTATTATTATTATTATTATTATTATTATTATTATTATTATTTTAATCTTTCTTTAGTATTAATAACTTC